AAATATTTATGCAAGATTTTCAATCGAATGAAAGCAAGCATTTTCATTTTTCTCTTTCTAAGAAGGTAAAGGAAAATATTCTATGTGAAAGATCATCATTGCACTCTTTAATCACTTTGATTTTCATTTTTATTTCTATTCACTCTCCTTTTACTTTGAAAACTGCTTGACATCTTGATACTTTATAAGAAATAAGGAAAATTTCCACCCTTTGATCCGTGCTTGTAGTCAAACATCTATACAGAAGTTGTATTATTTTTTGTCTGTTGTATAAATTCTTATTTTGATTGATTTCTAGTTGTGTGCCTAGCTAACTAAAAAATTTCTCGCTATCATATGGAATTTGCTTTGTATTTTCCTGATAAACTAATATATCCAATCATCTGTGACTGTATTAGGTGGGCATGCAGATAACAGTATCAAGCTATTATCAGCAGATGGTGCAAAAACCCTAGAAACTGCAGTTGCGCATTGTGCTCCAGTTACTTGCCTTGCTCTTTCACCAGATAGCAACTATCTCGTCACAGGATCACGGGACACTACTGTCTTACTCTGGAAGATACACAGGGCATTCACTTCAAGCTCAAGCAGCATGTCAGAGCCTTCCACGGTCACAGACACAGGCACACCACCTGCAGCCAGTCGCGCTACAGCAACTAACCTGGCAGAAAAAAGCAAGAGGTGTCGCATTGAGGGTCCCATACATGTTCTACGTGGTCACCACAGAGAAATACTGTGTTGTTGTGTCAATTCAGATCTTGGGATTGTTGTTTCTTGCTCCCAATCATCAGATGTTCTGTTGCATTCTATAAGAAGGGGCCGTTTGATCAGAAGGCTGGTTGGTGTGGAGGCCCACTCTGTTTGTCTTTCATCCGAGGGGGTTGTGATGACCTGGAACAAATGTCAAAATTCTCTGAACACCTATACTCTAAACGGGAAACCAATTGCTAGAGCACAACTTCCTTTATCTGGCTGTGTTAGTTGCATTGAAATTTCTGTGGATGGGAAGAGTGCTTTGATTGGCATGAACTCATATCAGGAAAACGATGAAACCTCTAATGACAACAAAAAAATAAGCTTGAAGAAGCCAGGGGCTGCAGATTTTAATCTGGAATCAGAGGACACTGGTGAACATAGCAGATTAGATGTTCCTTCCCCTTCAATTTGTTTCCTGGATCTTTATACATTGAAGGTATAAGAACTCGAGAAAATTTTAAATTATTTATATGCACGACCTATCCTAGTTTGTCAAGTGCTGCAAATCTTGTACCTTTAGATGTTTGTTCCTCTGTGACCCGACCTAATAATGCTTACATGTTAAGATTCTTAAGAAATAAAGGATGCTTTCCTTCCTGTTTCAATTGACAGACCTGTTGTTTATATGTCTTGGGCATTCATGAATGCATGGACATTAATGTAGTGCCCCGCTTCACTTGGCTCTAAAGTGTCCTTTGCTATTAAGTTTTTGCTCATGATATACCTGGTAGATCTCACAGTTAATTGAGTTTTACTAACTAGCATGCCAATTTGTGTCCAGGTATTTCATGTTTTGAAACTTGGAGAATGCCAGGATATTACTGCTCTGGCTTTAAACAATGATAGCACAAATCTCGTGGTATCAACTGCAGATAAACAGTTGATAATCTTCACTGATCCAGCTGTAAGTTCAATTTGTTCATATTCTTACTTCTCTGACAATGTGCTCCTGGTCTAGTTAGAACATTTAAGGGACCTTTGTCCCCAAAAGTCTTCTATTTAATCATCATGTGTTCAACTTGCTAAACCGTCCCATGGCAACATATGAAATGCCAGTGCACTTGGCCCTATGTATTTTGAAGTAATTGCAGTGTTGTCACAAATTTGTATCCTTCAGTTCACTCTGCTTTCTTATGTCTATTTGAAAACAATGCTTTGGTGGGAAAATGGTTCAACTTTTTGTAATCTATTTCAGTTGTTAGTGATCTAATTGACCGTGTCCTTATTGTGATTGAAATGCTTGTTCTTAGTGAAACCTTATGGTGACTCCCTTGATCGGTGCTTGCAGTTGAGCTTGAAAGTGGTCGATCAGATGCTCAAGCTTGGTTGGGAAGGTGACGGGTTGAGCCCACTTATAAAATCGCAGCGTTTAGGCCATTGAAATACTTCTTTAGTTGAATACAGAAGATACGCAATACTGCTAAGGATGCCACTAATGTATACAAGGGTATGTTTACTGCCCCGGATCAGATACCTAGTCGATTGCTAAATTTACGGTTTGCGGCTGTCCTGTGGATGAAACACATGTATTTTAGCAGTGGAACAGCTCTTCATGTCCATGAGTCGAGTCCCACTGTAGTTACTGCAATTTTTGATTCATTGTTGAGGTGTAGTTTGTTGTCTTCGATGAGTTGAGTCCCCGAGGCTTGAGTAGTTCTTTTTCGGCCATCACTTTTTTCCTTATGATTTTGTAAATGAAACATAACTGCATTCCATCTCGCATCTTCTGTACACATGTATAAGCTCAAATTACTGTCAAAATTGAATATAGATAGCTGAAGATTCTGGTTAAGAAAGAACAAGCTAATGGCATTGATCTCATTGTTATCTTTCAAAAAATATTTTGCATAACATTGTAAATGCGTTTGTGAGTAGTGAGAGCTTGAATGCTTAATCGTTGGCCAGCCTATTCTTTTCCTTTTCGTTTCTCTTTAATAAGAAGGAGCTTTCCTGCTTGCTGAATACTATTGATTCAAGCTTGGTGGAGAAAATCTGAGGAGATACCCCAGGGTGCTATCTTTATTGCTTGTTGAGGATTCTCTATATGCTGTTCAATTTTATTTTTTTTAATGGCTGTCATATGGTTCCAAAATCATGGAATCTGTACTTAATTTGAATCCCATGCGTAGATACGGTACGGACATCATTTCTTTTTTTGTGTAGCGGAAGAGGAGCAGAACTAAGAATCCTGTGCATCGGATAGAAGAGTTTTTATGTTTTTATTTTTGAAGCATCCATAATAATAATACCATTATTTTAAAACTTATCTGATTGCAAGTTGATTTATGATATGGTGATTTGGGTTTAGTTTTAATAAAAATAGAATGAGAATTGATGTGGTATAGTCCAATTAAAAATTTAGGTTGACGAATGACTCGGTTAGCATAAAAAAATATAGTCAAAATTTTTATTTTTTTATAAAATAAAAGAAAATTAAATTAATTTGTATTAATCGGATTAATCCATGATCAGACTTATACAAGATTAACCAGATCAATTTTAACATCTATGATAAATAGTTATGGTAATAAAAGAATTGAAAGTTGATCGCCAGACTTATACAAGATTAACCAGATCAATTTTAACATCTATGATAAATAGTTATGGTAATAAAAGAATTGAAAGTTGATCGCCACGCAATGGTATTCACTTGACATTTAGAGGGTGTTTGGGATTATGTTTGAAAAGTATTTTTAAAAAAAATTGAATTTTTTTTTTATTTTAAACTAATATGTTTTTGATATTTTCAAATTATTTTGATGTGCTAATTTTAAAAATAATTTTTAAAAAATAAAAAAATATTATTAACATACTTTTTTAAATAAAAAACATTTTAAAAAGCAACAACAACCACACTCCCAAACACGCTCTTAAGAATTACTTGGTTTTATTTTTACAAATATTTCAAAAAAATTTATTTTTTATTTTAAATTATTTTAATTCTTAATATCAAAAATAATTTTTAAAAATAAAAAAATATTATTTTAATAATTTTTAAATAAAAAATATAATTTTTTAAAAAAACTACAACTACCAGGCAAGTTTGTGGCGCCCTGGTTACAGTTAATAAAAAAGAAGGAAAAAAAAAGGTCGAAAGCAAGAGAAAAAAACCTGAAAGAAAAGCAGCCAACTAACAGCAGTCGAGTTGATTAGGGTTAGGGATAGCAACTAAAAAGAAAAAAGAAAGAGAGAGATGGGAGGTAAAGGAAGAAGAAGAAGAGAGAAAAACTACAGAGCGGCGCATGGAGGATCCCATTCTTTACTACCTCCCCCACCTAAATCCTCCCAAGTGGACGCTCTCCCTTCCAAACTCCGCAAACTCATCTCTTTAACCTCTCAGCTTCACGACGGTACCCCCTCTCTCTCTACACCCTCCTCCACCTCCCAATATCTCTCTCTTCCACCCCTTTTTTTTCTTTTTACTTACGCGTTTTTTTTGTTTTTTTTAGAGCATGCTAAAAATTCAATGTCCGGTCAAGAGAATACGAAACAACAAGTTGGTGATGCTAAGAAAGTAAGTGCTTCTTTTGGGCTCTTAAGAAACTGATAAATGCCTCTCTCTGTCTCTGTCTCTCTCTCTCTTTTGTTTCTGGTTATGCATTAATTTTTTTTATATATATATAGAAACGAGCTCATGAGGAAGGGAATAAAGCTACAATGGTGAAAGATGAAGGTGTCGAAGAAATTGTGGAGGGTAGTGGAGATGAAAAGAGGAAGAAGAAGAAAAAGAAAAGGCAAGTTAATGATCTTAGGTTTGAAATGGGATTGCATAAATCAAAAACTGTTGAGAAACGCCGCGAGCGCAAGAAAAAGTAAGCATTTTGAAGCCATCCCTCTGCTTTTAGTCCTCGTGAATTCTTGACAGCTTGGAAGTGATACTTGATTTCTTGCAACATAATTTTCTGTGTTATTAGCCAAGTAAAGTCTAACATTAAATTAGATTGAGTGAAAATTGTTCGCGATGAACTCCTCGTGAAAGTCCATACACCCCCTGATTTTTCTAAAATTGCTTTAGAATTGGATAACATTACCACGGTGAAAGTATGTTAGAAAGTTGGTTAAAACAAAATAGAGTAGAGGGAAATCATCCATGTAACTATTCACAATTGTGTTTGGGAATAAGTCTTTGCTGAGTTAGCTAGTTATGTATCTAACTCATGATGGGTGGCCCTTGGACTATCTCTTTGGGATGTTTAAAGTATGAGCAAGTATGTGCCATAGGTCTCATCTTGTTATCTTATTTATATGGGGAAAACCTTTTACTTGGGAAACTAATGTGATTTTTGTAATAGATGACAATGAGTAATGGTAGTGCCCCGTGACAAGGCGTGTAGGTGCTTGCTTAAGCGCTACAAACAAGGCCACAACACCTCTATTAGCCTTAGGCGATGAATTTTAATGAAGTGCTGCCTAGGCGAGTACCTAGTGCCTCGTGCATTTTACAGGCTTGGCGCCTTTTGCCTTTGACAAAACTGTTACTACTTTAAATTATCTTATTTTAAGGGTGAAAAATATAACTTTATATGACTAGTTTATATTTTCTAATGATCTAATCTTAATTGCAAAGATATATATTTTAGATTTATATATTATAATATAATATTATACATTTTTTTTTTAATTTATAGCATATCGCCTTGGTTCATTCAGCAAGAGCCTAGGTGTGCACCTAACACCTTGGCGTCTTTTAGTGCCTTTTGCCATTGACAACACTGGTAGTGCCTGTGACTAACCTAATTTTGCAATGAAAGCTACTTAATGACAGCTATTCCTGTCTGCATTTTATTTTGTGAGATGTGAACTGTTTATTTCAAGTGCAATATTCGTACTTGAAATATTGTGGTCAGGTTGTTGACACAGTATCCAAAAATTTTGGATCATCGGTAGGAATTTTGTTGGGGGGCATGTGGTGCTTACAATAGCTTTGGGAAGAATCATAAGGCTACAGGTTAATGCATTAGACTTGCGAAGGATTTAGTGGAGTATACCACCTCTGTTATGGCCCCTGGAGGTTTTTTCTCTAGTTTGAACAAGATGGTACAAATGTTCATGTAGTGGACTTAGTGTACTTGTTCTGTTCAGTTTTAATTTCTAATTTGCCTGAATGTGAATTCAAATTTTAGTATCTAATACCCACTCACATGCTTGTTCAAGCATATGGTTGTTGACCATCTACGTGATCACATTTTTAATACATGTAGGTATTTGGAAGCAAAGAAGAAGAAAAACAAGAAATCCGAGGAGAGGCAGGACTTTCCTGGACGTGAGCAGATACAATTTGGAGATGTGGTCCAAGCTCCCCCAAAGCTTACTGCCCCTTCTAAGGTATAGCTTCGTTGTTTCTTCAAATTTATATATGAATTAGTAGATGTTCTGTTGTTCAAACAAGAAGTTCTGTGAAATCTGCAGTTACTTAAGAATGTCCATGAAGCATCTCGGGAAAGGCTTCGTTTACAAGCTATTGAGGCCTACAGGGGTCGCAGAGGGTGGACTTCCAGACCAGGGCTTCATCTTCCACCTCCTGTGACTACAACAACGTCATTGCAATGATACGAGCATGATGCATATCCATCTTGTTTTTATTGTCTTTTCTTGCTTGTATATTATCTAATGTATAAGAGTTTGATCATGGACGGCTCTCTGTGATTCAATTTGGTCTTCTCCTTTGAGTTAAGAAAAAAGGTTCGGCCCTTTTTTCATCCCTGCTGGGCATAATAGACGATAATCATCATTAATTTGTGACTGGCAAAGCCTTTTATTCATTTCAAATTTCGCGACTGCAAACTTTTTTGGCCTGCCTTTTCGATTAATTGATTAATATACTACAATGTCTTTGCTGAGCAAAGTGATTCGGAGTTGAGGCTTCGATGCTATAAACGAATAATTTCTGTTTGTAGATCATGCAGCTTCGCAGCTTTCATCTATCGAGAGATGAGCAAGGCTTATCATCTTATGGAGGTCAATAAACGCTGGAATTGTTGTGGCTCATAAGACTAGTTATTTGAAAATATGCAAGTATTTGAAATGTGTTTTTTATTTAAAAATTTTAATTATAAATTAAAAAGTTAATACATGTATTTAATTAAATACATTAAGAATTATTTGTGCTTATAAATATAAAAAATAAAGTGTCAATATATTTATTAAACTTGTTTTGTTGTATTTTGAATAATTTTTTTAACACAAATTAATTTTTAGGTTTTATTAACATTAATTTAGATGTTATTAATATATTTTTTTAACATCAAGTAATAGATATAACCTTGACTTTAAAAAGTTGATGTTTATATGTAATAAAATAAAATAAAGATTATTAAAAAATATATATAATATAATAAATATTATATGTGTTAATAAAAATATGTAAGATTTTAAATTAATTTTTTACGTAGTAAAAGAATAAAATAATATTGCAATTACTATTCTATTATGAAATATTATTTTCTTAATCTTTATATAATATTTTGAAAAATAAATATAAAGAAAAAGACTTGAAAACAATTTAAAAAAGAATAAAAATAAGAACAAAAAGAATAATATAAATAGGTCAAGTGTAAAGTGATAAATATTTAAAACCTAAAAAATAAAAAAATAGAAAAAACTAAAAAAAATACAAAAAAATAAAGAAAAATGGTGATAAACATGCTAAGTGTAAAATGATAAAAAAAAAAGAGTAAAGAGAAAAATATATAAAAACAACTTGTTTTCTATAAAAAATTACAATTTTACAACCATTATAGTAAAAACAAATTGGCAAACTCTACATTTTTTTTCATTTCTACACGAAAACAACGTTTTATTTTAGTATATGTATAATTTCAATCCAAATCCACCTTTAAATCAAACCGAGGGATCTTCAATACTAGTTTCTTGAAATCCTCTGATTTTGCAAGTCTTTGCTTTGCCGGGAAAACACTATTCAACTCTCTTTTTCTTTGATGTTTGGGGTTGGGTTTTGGGATGATAATTTAACTCGAATACCAATCTAAATTCATCTAGACGAGTGGATTTTATATATATATATATATATATATATTTCTTGTTAAATAAGTAATAAATAATGTATAAATGTTATTAAATTCAACGTAACCCTAATTCGAGCAATATACATTTGTACTGCATACATTATATAACACACACACCCAGAGATGCAAGCGGAACATTTATAATTTTATTATTTAATTTTAATTTATATATAATAAACAGTATGAATATACATGTATAGATATCTAGAACCTAAAAGATGATAGATAGGATATTAATATTAAAGAATAAGTTGTAAATATAATAAAAACCCATACCATTGATTGCGATTACCATCCATGGGCCTTGCGCCCATGTTATAGATGCAATATCATTACAGATACATAGAGCCCAGTACTGTTTCAGTTGCGGGCAAAAACACGGAGACATCCATCAGTATGAAGATTAGTCTACAAAGCTAAGTGCTGTTTCTGTGGAGGGCAAAAACATGGAGGCCTCCATCAACATGAAGATTAATCATCGTCCTGTAATTGACTGGTTTCTTTTCATCAGCGAGTTTAAAAGTGAAAATGGCCACCAAGACAGCCGCAAAGATCTTCATCTGCCTATAAGCAAATTCATTCCCATGACATATCCGTGGCCCTGCCTGTTAACCAGCAGAAAGCCTGATTTTAGTCATTTGGTCAAGGGAGTGGGAGTTCATAAACTTAAGCTGAGCTAGCACAGAAAGTAGATCTTAATGATGACTCGATCTTGATAGTTTGCACATCGAAGGAAGAAGAAAACTTATTTAAATGCTAATCAAGTGAATTATACCAGTCTTTATTTCAACTAACCTGGAAAGCTGTAAACTTGAAAGGGCTTTCTTGCTGAAACACGCCATCCTTGAGCCATCTTTCAGGTTTGTATTCCTCAGCATCATCGCCCCATATGAACTTCATCCTGCCCATTGCATAAGGTTGGTAAGCCACCATATCTCCCTTACTCACATTAAAGCCATCTGGTAGAATGTCATCAGAAAAGCAAATCTTCCCATCCTGCAGAGCAAAGAATTTTAAGATACAGAAACAATAAAATTATAAAATTATTCAGGAAGCATTATTAACTCTATAAGAGCATGTTCAAACATAAGCATACTGTGAGAATTAAGGTGTTTGTTGCTCAAGAATCATAGTTTCAGCCGTGAAGAATTCGTGAATAGTCATGAATTTATCTGAACATATTCGAACAGTCAATCAGTTTTCCTACTATAACTTTTTGTTTTATGTGGTGCGGCCAGGAATTGCAGGTGCATATAATTTCTTCTTACCACAGGCACAGATGGATACAGTCTAAGAGTTTCAGAAATTGCTGCATGGAGATAATTCATCTTTTCTAGAGCTTCTTCATTAACACTGGCTGAAAATTCTGCAAAGTCTGTAATCTCTTTCACTTTAGTTGCTTCTCTTACTTCTTGTGCAATCTTATCCTGCACAGCTGGATGCTTGCACAACATGTAGATGAACCATGATAGAGCAGTTGCTGTTGTGTCTTTTCCAGCAATCACAAAATTGAGAATTATGTCCCGTATGTATGTTGGATCATTCTCGGTCACTTGCAGGAACCTTGATAAAATGTCGTCTTTCTTTAACTGCATTTTCCATGTAAGATCAAATAAAATTCATGCCTCTGCAACCTATCAGAAATAATAGTTTCAAGGAGAGATACTCACAGAAGAAACTTCTTCTGAGTTACGCATTAGCTCAATTTTTTTATTGATTAGTTTATACACAAAATCATTAACCACTTTGACGTTTTTCTTCAATGCAGCTTCCGATCCAATATTCAAAAACCTCTTGATTTTCCAGAACACATCAACATATCGCCAAAGGGTCAATGCACTTGCATCATCAAAAGCACTGGTAAATTTGAGACCTTCTTCATTTGATCCACACATGCTGTCTAGCTCAACCCCAAATGCAACTTTGAATATCGAATCTAAGGTTGATTTCATAAACAGATCCTGCACAGCCAGTTAAGCTTAGAAGGACACGTAATTTGAAAATCAATTCATGATGTGACATTGGATCAAAGACTAACCTGTATGTCCATTGACTGGTTAGCTTTTGCAGCTTCAGACACTATATTAGCAAGTTTTGCCACATTCTTCCTGAAGACCACACTGCTGAAGTCCCTCAAAACCTTTGTGGAGAACTCATAGCTCGAAACCTTTCTTTGCTGGCGCCATTTGTCACCGTCAACAGTGAAAATCCCATCACCTAGTAACCCACTTAAATTGTCGTAATTATGGTCCCCCTGCACAAAGATTGAGGAAGCTAAATCTTTACCCTTTTAGCCATTGGAATCTAATCCTGATGGAAAAGTGAACAGTCAAAACCATCCCCACTCAGATTCTCATCACCCTACCAATTGAACTCATCAAGATAATTTTACACAATTCACATCGTAAGAACAAGGACCAAACATTTGGTACTGATATTGACGAAATATATAGATCACAGTAAGAAGAAATAAATTACCTTGCCATAATTTTCAAAGTTGGTTTTGAGTATGTACTCAACATTTACTGGGTCAACAGTGTAAATCTCACTTCTGAAAGGGGCGCGCAGCCTGTAAGTCTTATATTTCCCAGCAAGATTAGTCATGTAATGATGCACCCTGTTGAAGTGGAGAAGTTGGGTAAACACCGTGCCTGCAACTGGATGGTACTTGTATTTCTTCTGCTTTTTGTTCAATTTTCTAATGAAGAGTTGGACTATGAATATAGATAGGATTAGAACTAAAGCTGAGAATTTGAGTGGATTTGAAAGAACATCAATGGAGGCCATCTTGGAGCTGAACAGTATCTGAAACAAGG